ACTCGGTACTTCCCGGGACTGGAAATGAGGCTGTAATGGCTTGGTCTGAATGGTAGCCTTAGGCCAGCCTCCCTTGCGCGAGCCTCAAAACCGTCTCGACTGAGACCGTGGCTCGAATATGTGTGGTCCAGGTAGTGTGTGACATGCGTAGCTGACTATCTACCATCGCATCCAGGACCATCAAGCGTCGTACTGACCTCATTTGGTCGTCAGAGTTTTTGCGGATAAGAGGTCAGGGAGATGGGGCAAGGGCTTTCCAAGTTTGTTTCACAATTCGAAGAATTCACAAAAAAGTTAACCACTACGGCCTGTTCGGAGCAGTGATGCTACGTATCCCTCGCAATTATCGCACTGTCGATATGAATGCTAACCTGAGTTTTAAGAACTGATGGAAAATGCCACAAGTCCGTATTCGCCTCCCACCTTGTACACTTATATGGCTTCTTAAAATGTATTTTGGTTGCGGCGTTATCAATTAAGCGCACCACAGCAGGGGAGATCGAAAAGGGCTACTTTATTAGATAGAGTACTCGTACTATTATATGGGCTGATAGTCTATTAGTTACCTTCATAACACTTATCCCATTTAGCTCTGCTTAAACCAACGTTGAATAGAGAAAAACAAATAGCTTCACAATAAGTAGACACCCCAGTGCCATTCTGTGTCGTCCTCCGTAACCATAACTGTGATTTGTTTCGGGTTTCACGATTTTTAAGTTGTTGTGTCTTTTTCTTCCCAAGAAGGACTACTACGGAAACAAGGACGCTCTTCGGACGTACTTTTACCCATCACGCAATTGTGTGAATGAAAATTAGGCGCATCGGACCCTTCCTGCCTCTCTTAGACCGACAGTAAAAGTAAAAACACAATGTTATTCTCGGACTCGAGCAGGATTTGCGTCCAAAGTAAGGTGAACTTCATTAGCTCTTCATCCTTTTAGCAACACGAGGGTTACAGGTAACGTGAAGACTAAACGAACACCAGATTAACTGATGTTCGAAGACAGCTGACTGATCACTCACAACGTCCACAGCGACGCAATACAAAAGCACACACTGCTAAAGCGAACACAAAAGCATCTGAGGTAGTCATTAAAATTAATATTGTTTTTATCATGAAAGAAGACAGGATGAGCCTATAGGGCAAATAAAGCAAGACAGAGAGCAAAAAGAAAGACAGAATCCTCCTCGGAATATCCGATGGCCAAAAATAGAGGATGAGAGGGCACAGCAGTAGCCAGGTTACTCCGATAAAACGGAATGAAGAAAAGAAACCTGTCATGGACGCAGAGTTCTCAACGGTCCTTGTTATCCTCTTATTTTGAGGACTACTGACTGGATGCTGCTTGCCCGGATGCAAGATTGACTCTCGGCCGAACTGCTGTGGCCACAAGGGAGGGCTGGCAACCAAAGCGCCGACTGGTGCCGCACAGCCCACAGAACTTAGCATTCTCAAAGAACCGTTCTCCGCACTGACTGCAGAATTTTTGTTGTGCGAAACTTTCGGTGCTATCCGAAATTGAAATGTTCTGCACCATCGTGGCCGTCTTCGTTGGCGACCCGCCTTGAGGTGGTACCTCGTTCATACTAGTTAGGTGCCTCTGTTCGTTATAGATAACAGGTCGATCCCGAGAAGGCCTGAATTGGTCCGAACGAAGAGTCTGAGTCAAGATTGCTGAGGTCACATTTCCGAGAGCGTATGAAGGCAGACTTGTGGGTTTACTGCAGGAAAGAACCAAAAAGTGATGAGATGAGGTTGACTTAGCAAAGATAATGGCGTGCAGACGATAATATACTTATATTCCTGCGGCCAGGACACCAGAAAGCTGTGTTAGACTACCAAACACTGACAGGTCTCTGAGTTATGCCGTGCACGATTTCCGTTCTCAAGCCACTCTCCCCCTACCATTGCATGTCCTTTTACTGAGAAAATGAGCGTTTATTGCTCAGGTTGTCTTCTTCGCGCTGTCCCGTCACCTTGTCCTCTTCAGAAAATGCATGATTTTCC